CAGGTTAAGGACCATTTAGATAAGTCTGATGTATTTAAGTGAGCAGGGCCTGATGATCTTAGGGATGCTTAAGGAACAAGCCAGCGCAGTTATCTGTGAGAAGTCCTGGAGAATGTGTGAGGTCCCAGAGGACCAGTGAAGGGCAAGCATAGGACCTCTCTTTCAAAAGGAGACCACAGAGGACCAGGGGAATTAGAGACTAGTCAGCTTCGCTTTGATACCTGGAAAGATAGTGGAACAAATTATTAACCAGTCAGTTTGTAAGGAGTTAAAGGGCATAATTTGTTTCAAGGGAGGTTTAGGTTTGATATTAGGAAAAATGTTCTAATCTGAAAGGAAATTAGGCTCTGGAACAGGCTCTCGAAGAGGGCTTTCAAATCCCCTGCTTTTAAGAACAGGTGGGATATGATGACAAGGAGGGGACTGGATATGATGACTTCCCAAAGACCATTCCACTCGTCTACTTCCCTGATTTCATGAAACAAGAGGTGAAAGGAGCAGGACCCGAGTCCGCCATGTAAGACACTTTCCTTGCATTGGATTACAGCTATGGAGGATTCAAGGGCATGATGGTTTCTTTGGTAGCAGGAAACGGTTTTAAATAGGAAAGCATTTTGCGGGGAGAAGGTTTGTTTCAGTTCTGATTTGCCATCTCCCAGCTTTGAAAATGTTCCATGAACTGAAATGAGAGCAGAGTCTTTGGCCAGGCCTGACTCCTCATTAACGGGTCACAGCAGCCTGCTTATCCCATCTGGGTTTGCCAAACAGGTCTAATGTCCCTTCTAATCCATCCCCCTGGCTTCAGGCAAATTCTGCACGAAAAAACTTCTTGCAAGTGGAGAGTCAGAGACTTTAGCTAGTGAAACAGAGTGGAAGAAGGTGGAACTCCACTGCCTGGAGTTATGCCTGTTTCCAGTACGGCTGGCTCTGTTCAGTTGCCAGCCTGGTTAGGAGAGCCGTGCCTAATTGTGGTGGTTTAAGGTAACAATGCAATTTCTCCACTCGGTGGCGCCAAAACATTTCAAATAAAGAGGCTGTTGGCACAGATCTGCTGACCAGGGCCTGTGTGCACCTTGCTCTCTCCCCACTTAGGAGCATCATTAAGGGGTCCAGGTGTGGCTTGAGGAGCATGCCCTGCCCTGCTGATTCCACTCATAACTTTAAACATTCCCAGAGGAGAGCGAGTCTGTGCAGAGGAAGGTATTTTGTGGCTCACAAGCTTGGGGTCCCACAGCTCTCTGGGAGCTTTGCCCGATTCCCACTGACTTACATTGAGGGTCGGGTGCCAGATTTATCGTGGGAAAAGTCTCCCTGGAGTTGGCAGTCTGGCACTCTCTGTTTGGAACTGGCAGCTGAATTAAACAAATGCAACTGTAAGTTCTCTGGGGCGGGGACTCTCTGTGCTGCGTGCAGTGCCTTGCACCGTGTATCTCTCCTCCCTCTGTGCTCTACCACAATGGAGCAGCAAAGGAGAAAGACAGCTCTGTTCCAGTGTGTTCACTCCTGTTTTCCCAAGTGTGTGTGCACCCTGCATATAGTACCTCCACGGCAGTGCAGGCAGCATCAAGCCCAGCTGGCGTGACAGCAGCCTCATCCGTGCATGTCTGAGGCATGTACCAGCCTGCTGCTGAGCGGTGCAGTCGCTGATGGAATCTGAAAGGTGAATGTGGAGCACGGGTCCCCAGTTTCCTTTTGAACAGCCTCACAGCCGGAACAAACAAAGCCTTGTAAAAGCCACTTGCAGTATGTGAGCTGGCATTGTCTGTCTTCTCGAACAAAGGAGGGACAGAAAGAGAGCAGCTAACAGAGCTAGTCTTTGAACTCTTCGGGGGCAGAGTTCTCTCTCCCTTACCCGAGTCTCACACAGGAACTACTCCTGATTTATACCAGCAACTGTGATCAGAATGGGCTCCATTTTTTCCAAGATTTTTTTAATCCATACATTTAAATAAACACAGAACAATTGGCCGCGATGGTATCAAAACCACCAAGAGCATCCCCGAGTCCAACTGTTCCCTGTGTGACTCCTGCCAGCATTTGTCTGCAGTGTTTTGATGCATGTCTGAGTCTACTCTACAGCCTTCGGTTGGTCTTCGCTGGAGAGAACAGGATACAATGGAAACTTGAAAAGAGCAAACACAAGCTGTTAGCCACCAGGAAATGAGGCTGGAATGTGAAAGCTGCATGGCAACTGGCCTCGCACTGGGCAGGGCCTGGCTTTGCTCCCCTACAAGATATTAAATGGTGTAACTTACACTCCAGTTGCCCCCACTGTGTGCCATGTTGGTGCAGTTACACTGCTGTGCCCCCTTGCTCTGTTTTCTGGTTGCACCTCCTTGCTGACTTGGTCAGGGGAAGCTGTGGAAGGGATTGTGAGTCTTCTCCAGAGCTGCTGGGCTGTGCCAAGGCCACTTTGGATCCAGCCAGCCTTGCAGAGGGGCTGGACCATGGCCCTGTGGAACCTTGGCACCTTTAGAGGCTCATGCCCCCGGGTGGGCGAGAAGGAGCAGACCTCGAAGGGGAGTGTGTGGCGAAGTGATGCAATCGGCTGCCGAGACATGCGTCTCTGAGCCCGTCAGCATCCACCATCTTTTCCACCCCTGTGGCCACTCCCTGGTGATCTCAGACCTAGGGGAGCTGCTCTGACCCACTGTCGCCCCTGTGAGCAGCAGCCAGCCTGAGCATGCAGCTCTGGTGCTCAAGGTCACCTATGTGCGCGGTTGCAGAGTCTGCCATCCCCCAGGCATTAATTCTGTGTGGATCCAGGATGCCTTGGCCCCTCCCTTCCTGAGTCTGATGCCCTCCTGAGTGGGATTGCTCTTCATCGGCACCTCTCAGTGCGGCTAATGGGGATGCCATTTCTTCCCAGATGTCTTGGGGGAGCAGCTGGTTAAATGGGCAAATTGGTATTCATTCCATAGCAGCCAGGCAGAGAATATGCTCTGTCCCCTGATCCTCATCGGAGAGTGTGTTCTGCAGTATCAGCAGTCTAAAAATAGCCACCATTAGCATGCTGGACACATTAGACTCCAGCAAAGGGTTGGTGGGGAGGAGAGCGGTGCG